TTTTGTCTCATAGTGGCGTTTTGGCACTTTTAATGAGCGCCACGGTCTCTGAATGAGACACACTGGTTCTGTGCTCCCAGTGGGCAGAATGAACATGAATGAGTCCGTCCACTCAGGGTTAAAAGCTCTGTTCTCACTGTCCACTTTCCTCTTCTTGGAGAGCGCCATGTGTAATTATTTGTCTCTCACTGTCTGCCGCTAACACGCCTGTTCATTCTCCTCTCCGCTTCTCTCCCTGTATCGCTAATTATTCTCTTCACTCACTTTCCTCTCCGCTTCTCTCTGCCGCTCTCTCGTCTCTTCTTCTGTGTTTCTCTCCCTGTATCGCTCACTCGTCTCTTTCGCCCGCCCCTGTCGGCAGCGGTTAAAATAGAATCGCCCCGTCAAAATTGAATTCCCCTATTAATGTATTGATTATAGGTCCGGGTCCGTATAGGTCGGCGTCTGGGTCTGGATCCGGACCGCCTGTTGCCGACCCCTGCTCTACGCTTTTCCACCGCTGCGTCTCATTCCCCCACTCCTGGAGGGGGTGAGACGAGAACAGTTGTCGGTCATTCTGGTAGTCCCAGGTCGCCGCTCGGCGCCGTGGTACACAGAAGTGACACAAATGATGGTGGGCCAGCCCTGGACAGTTACTCAGTTCTGGGGGCGCTGTCTCAGGAGGCGGGTGCAATAGGGGCGTTACCCACTCTGGGCCAACCTCCCCAGGCTTGGTTCCTGAGAGGGACAGGCTGAGAAGGGGTGGACTGTCTGACAAGGTTATTCAGACTATCCAGGCAGCAGGAGCGGGATCCACCACAGCCTGTTACGGGCCGTCTCCACAGCAGCGTTAAAAAATCTTGAAACGCTTCTGCCCATTCACTTTGAATGGGGTGACGTCACTTTCCCTCACTTTTCGCCGAAATGCTTTGTGGGCAGGCGAGCGGAGATTTTCAGGATTTTGAGGATTCAAAGTTGAACAATGTTCAACTTTTGAGGCTGAGGTGGAAGCGTCAGCCAATCAAATCCCGTGTACGCAAATCTGACAGTTCAAGCTCTAGCCAATCAAACGGCGTGTATGCTGGGAGAGAAATACCGCAGGTCATTTCCTCATATTCCAAAAAATGGAGGAGAAATTAGCGGTAGCGAATCAATCACCCGGTGCTTTATGACCAGACCTACCGGGATATAAACCGGAGGAGCCAGGCATGGAGGGAGGTGGCAGAGACAGTGGTAGGTTTTCGCCTGTTTTGGGGAGTTTATATCCAGTTTACTTCGGGCTTTTTTGCTTCGTATGTCGCGGGCGGGAGATTCATGTGATTGGTTGCTCGCAAAAAATCCTCAAGCTTCAGATACGCCCACCTCCAAGATTTTTTTAACGCTGCTGTGGAGACGGCCCGTTACAGGACGAAGTGGTTGGGATTCCTGCAGTTACTGGAACTGGTGCAGCCGGGCGATTGGTTCACAAGCATCGACCTGTAGGACGCTTACTTTCATGTCGAAATTGCTAGAAAGCCAAAACACAGGAAGTATTTGCGTTTTGCCTTCCAGGGGATAGACTACGAGTACAACAGACTACCTTTCGACTACTCCCTGTCCCCACGCACGTTCAGCAAATGTGTGGCCACAGCGCTTCAGCCGCTTCGTGACCATGGCATGAGGGTTTTATTTTATCTCAACGACCTCATAGTCATGGCCAGGTCCAGGGAATGGGCAGATGTTCCACACAGCCCAATTGATCTTACACCTAACCAAGTTGGGGGTTTGCGGTCAATTGGAAGAAGAGCAGTCCCATACCTCACCAGCAGGTGGGGTATCTGGGGATTTTTGCTCGATGCAAGAGAGAGGTGTATGCCCAATCGAGAAGGAGGGCAGGCTACGTGCCACTCTGTCAGAGAACAGACATACGTCCCTGCTTCAGGCAGACTGAACGTTGGTGCGAGGAAAGGAGTCTAGAGCCTCTGTCCGGTATATTGGGCTCTATTCTATCCTATCTACATCTAATGGTGGACAAGGGGCTTGCTCACTCCACAGTGAAGGTGTATGCAGCAGCCATCTCGTCCTGCCATGAGGGATTTAGCGGCAGGTCAGCCTTTAGTCAACCGCTTCTGACGCGTTTTTTGCAGGGAGTCAGGAGACAGCGCCCAGTGGTGCATGTCTCCACCCCGCAGTGGGATCTGCCGTTGGTGCTCGAGGCTTTGGTTACATAACCGTTTGAGCCTCTGGAGCTCTCCTCCCTGAAGGTGCTGTCATTGAAAACAGCTTTGCTGCTTGCCTTGACTTCGGCCAAAAGAGTATGCGAGCTGACCGCTCTGTCGGTGAACCCGAGTTGCCTTTTGATTCGGGGCGACACTCAGACCGAACCCCTCCTTTGGGACAGGGAGGCAAAATTGCACCTCCTCTGCCCAGTTTGTGCGCTGGCATGTTATGTAGGGCGCACGGCTTCCATTAGGCGCACTGCATAGCTGTTTGTGTGCTTTGTGGATGGTGTGGCCGGTAAAGCTCTGTCCAAGAAACGCCTGACAGGATGGCTCTGCGAGTGCATTTCACATGCCTATGGGCAGGCGGGGAGAGCCTTCCCCACTGGGGTCCGTGCACACTCTACACGTGGTATAGCTGTGTCGACAGCCTTGTTCAACGGCGTGAGTGTGGAGGACATATACACGGCGGCGTCTTAGTCTACGCCAGGCCCCTTCATAAGGTTTTATCTCTTGGCCATGTCTGGCTCCTTTTAATCGTCTGTGCTTGCTGGGGCAACACAGGACTGGTGAAAGGAGGGGGGCTGTGGGTCAGTAAGCTGTATCTGACCCCCTTGGACATAATGCACTTATGTTTTCCCATGCTCCTTAGGGACCCGGGAAACGTGGTGCGCAGTAAGCCCCATACAGGGCTGGAGGACTCTCTCCATATTTAATGTCATTCTAAAATCTCTGCCTATGGGCAGGCGGGGAGAGCCTTCCCCACTAAGATCCATGCACACTCTACAGGAGGTAAGCGTGTGAGAGTGGGGGACATAGTACACTTACGTTCTTCCCATGCTCCTTAGGGACCTGGGAAACGTAGTGCGCAGTGTGTAGTCACTTGCGCTGGCACCTGCAGGGTGGAGCTATGGGCTTATTCAGACCAATTAGGCTCTACCCAGCCAAGTAAGCTGCGGCCCCGACTTCTCCACGGTCACAACCGGGTGATAGGAAGTTGGGGTACGATGGCTGTTAACCAAAGGCCGGTCAGGGGCAGTGTGGTGGGTCGATGTTGTGGGACAACAGGGCGTTTATCCATCGGGGCTTCACCCACTGTACCCATAGAGTCCAGTAGAGGGCGGAGCCTGTGTGAGATAGAAAGGTGGGTTATGTATTGTAACCCTAGTTCTATAAGCACAGGCGGAGCCCTCTACCTAGGGGCCCTGTCTTTCCTATGACGCTCGCTGAAGAGGGTGTAGGATGACAGTCAGCAGGTGTAGCTGCCTTATATACTGTGCGGCCTGCACGTGCATTCAGGTAGGCTCGCCCTGATTGGTCAGCTACGTTTATGCAAATTCAGTGTGTGAACGCTTGTGTATCATTGATGAAGAGTAGTAACCATAGAGTCCAGTAGAGGGCTCCGCCTGTGCTTATAGAACTAGGGTTACAATACGTAACCCACCGTTCTCTTAGCTTTTTAAAATAACACATCTATACATGTCTATCTGATATTCAGTGCTGCAGTGAGAAGAGCACCTTTTAAACATTAACGCATGTAACATGTCAAAGTAGAATCACAAAATAAAATGATGAAACCTGAAAATGAGCATAATAGGGACCCTTTAAGGAAGTCATTGTTTAGCACAGTCACGTCATTTAATGGAATTGTTCATGCTGTAAGCAACATTTTAACTGGATATATTTACTAGGGAATTCCAGTAACATTGAGTTACATGACAAGATGCAAAACATAATGTATGACAGTATGATCATAGATTGTTCAAATGCAAATCATTGAAATATTTTAAAAACAACTAAACAGACAACAGCACTTAACTGGAACAGTGTGTTTCAGTTAGACTGTGAAACTGGGTGTAGGGAACATTTATTATAGCTGAAGAAAGAATCGCTTGAGGCTGGGTGTAATTGCACTTGTTGAATGCCTTCTGCAAGATGCAGCTGGTAGAAGGTCAGTTTTTGCAGCTCAACAATTGCAGAAGAAGTAATGTATATGTATGATGCGTTTACTTACCCAAAGTTGTTTGGTTTTTAGTTGTATATGATGTTTACATGCATATAATGTTCAAAAAGGTCTTTATTTGTCTCATACTGCCTGTGCTGCAGCACCTCTTCTCACCCTCTGTCTGAAACCAGCGCACATTCTGCTCTGATTGGTTAGCTGGCCGGCTCTGTTGTGATTGGTCAACTGTTTAGAGATTTACGGCCCCTAAGCCTATCACGTACAATGTGTTGGAGCACTAGCCTTTAGAAGCACGAGTGTAACATCGTGATGTTACTATGTAAGAAGTGAACAAAGGAGTCCAATGGAGGTGTTTCAGGCTAGGGGGGAGTGTGTGGGAGAGTAACTCGCTCTGAAGGGAACACAGGGATTTGAGCCTTTGCAGTATTTTTTTTTTACATGCACAAAAACGTACATAACTACACGACTACTGGAAAGGGAAAATCCCCCAAAACATAGTACGGCCCCTTTTAAATTAATGCTTATACAGTAGTCCAGATTTACCACATTGTGAAAACAAAACACACATATTTATTAGATTTGTATAGCTTTAAGCAGGAACAAGGTTTAATGGCTTCAAGGTTAGCAGTGTAAATTGGCTGGAAAATATGCAAATGTGATTTTCTTCTCTTCGGGCGCGTATTCTACCCTGAGCATGCTCTGTCCTGATCTTAAGTGGGCCTACTGTTAATCACTGTGGCATTTTACCAAGGTTATTACTGCCAATACAAAAAGGAAATACTTGTCATATAGCATAACACATTATATCAGCCTCTCGTTCTGCAGACAGATTAGAACATAAAGCGCTTGTTGACCTCAAGTGAATTGTAGAAACGTTTATTGAAGTTAGTGGTAGATACATGTTTCCCATCGGGGACAGACATTTACATTGACATTTTTTTATCCCAACACATTCAACTGAATCAACCCTAGTTTTTACCATTTAAAAAAAATAGTATAACGTTACATTCGTAAACATAGCAAAATATGCAATTATAGATTTTAGAATGACATTAAATAACACATAACGTCATGACAGGGAGCCTTTAAAAACCTTGTACCCAGCATTTACCATTAACCATTTATTCAAGAGCAACTATCAAAATCATATGAATATAAAAACATTTGTATTTGTAGATGAAACATGTTTAGATCAGGTCCCATTACAGAAAAACCAAAGTGCAAGTTAGTGGAAACAAATGAACAGAACAAACAATTTATGTTTTGTTTCTTACAAACATTAATTTTGTAATACACACAATTGAGCTCAATGTATTAAAAATATCGACTATCTCCTAATTAGTAAATGTACTTGTGTCCATGCTGCATGCCACATGGCTTCTGACGCTAACCCTATACCCTATCAGTGCAGAATAAGTTAACAAAAATACTTGCCAAAACCATTCAAACATTGAAGAAAAAAAAAACTTGTTGTAAAGTGCTTTTTCTTCAGAAAACTGTGATAATGAATGTATTCTTTAAAAAACAGGCGGATATGCTTTAGTGAAATAGAAGCAGCTATACGAACATGCATCTACATGTAGTTTCATTTCTTGCCAAACTGCTCACGCACACCCTCCACAAATAAACAGAAATTGACATACTCTTGTTAAAATATCTGAGGCTGCCTTGCCAGAAGTTTGAACTCTATTTTACAGTTTCCATTCCTATATTATAACTCAGTGAATTTCTCCTGCACCAACACCTTGCGGTAGGTGGGGGTTTTGCTCTCTGTGGTGCTAGAGGAAGTCACCACGTTGCTCTGAGAGCCAGCAGATGTTTTGCCCTTGCTATAAAGGACCTTTTTAGAGCCAGAGACGCCATTCTTTTGAGACAGACCTCCTGCCTCCTGGACCAGATGCCCTCCCTTGCTTTGCCCTCCGACCACCAGGACCCTCTGAGATCCTGAAAGCCCCCCTGACTGCAGAGTGCCCCCCTGCATGAGGAGGGTCTGACTGCCATGATGCCCTTTCATTGTCCCTGTAGGGACTTTTCCCTCCACCACCATCATGGTCTGGGAGCCAGAAAGGTTGCCAGTGTGGATGAGGTTGCCACCACTTCCATGGATCCCGTTCCCCTCCACCACCATCATGGTCTGGGAGCCAGAAAGGTTGCCAGTGTGGATGAGGTTGCCACCACTTCCATGGATACCGTTCCCATCCAACAGCACCATGCGTTGGCCCCCGGCTTGCCCGCTGGACATCATTGTCTGTCCCTGAACCACCATGCCTTGGGCATGTCCAGTCTGGGTGCCGTTGAGCAGTACCATGCCCTGCAGGTTAGAGGTTGGTGCCTCCGCCAGCATCACAGTGTTCTGAACCTGTGGCTGGACCATGTACTGCATCTGCTGCAGCACAGGGGTGGCGGTGGTGTAGTAGACTGGCTGCGGCTGCGGCTGTAGCAAAATCATCTGGCCTTGATTCATCATCCCTTCATTTACTGTGGTCCTCCCCGTGTTCACTGTGGTCATCCCTTCATTTACTGTGGTCCTCCCTGTTTTCACTGTGGTCATCCCTTCCATTGCTCTGGCCCTGCAGTCCTTCACCACCTGAGAATGTTCAGATTTTTCCCTGACCACAGTCTGAGGGGCGGGCGGCTGCACCTGGGATGGAGGAGGCATCTGTTGGGTCATCACACTTGATGCTGAGGTGTGAGTGTGGATGGAGGGACTGGGCTGAGGAATGAAGGCTGGTTTGACCTCAGTTTGGATCTTCTTGCCTCCGCACACCTCAGCCAGGGTCTTGAACTTCATGCCGAGGTCATCGAGGAACTGCAGGTCGTTCTCGGACTCCAGGAGGCTGCAGCAGCCCACTGATCCAGCTAGGGAGCCCTGACCCTCGTAGTCATAAACTAAAAGGCCATCCTTCCCTCCAAGGTTTTCGTTTTCGCTTCTCACCTTCTGTTTAAAAAGAATAAAGAAATGATAAATAAGGTTACCTTTATTTGTGAATATGTTCCCCAGTAGACTGCGAAATATTTGGTTTTAGGAAAGACATTTGCAGTGGTAGTAGAAGTAACAAATATTTCATTGATTTCTCACCTGACCGTAGTACTGTCCCAGGAAGTGGTCTGGCAGAGCCATGCCATCATACATTCCTCCCCCTCCTCCTGATTCTCTGCTCTCAAACTCCGAATAGTAGCCTCTGCTGCTGGGCTGATTCCCCCATGTTTCTTCTCTCTGGGCTCCTGTGAAACCTTCTCCATAAAGAGCTCCGTTCATCCCATCCATTGAAGAGACAGATTTTTGGAAACCCATACCTGCCATGGGCGCCGATGCAAAAGTGTTTTTAGCCATGACCATATTTGCATCCTGTTGTACGGGCAAATTCAGTAGCGGCACCTCCGTGTTCTCGCCTTGGCCCTCAGTGCGGTAGTTAATGAGGTGAGATTTGGTGTCGATAAAAAAGCCAAAACACTTAGAGACAGAGGTGACTTTAAATGCCTGCAGGCCGGGGGAAATGCTTTTGTTGAAATCATGCAGGCAAGGAATGTTTGGCAGAACACAAACCGCCATTAAAATCCTCTCAAGGAAAAAGAGAAAAAAAACTCGCCCTGTTAGCCAAGCCTCACATTCTTTCGCCACAGATGGTTCTCCTTAGCGAGCACCTTGTACTGAATCAGGATTGGATGGAATTGCAGGAGAAGCCAGGCTTTAAAAAGAAGTGGCTCATTTGGGGGAAACAAACGTCAGCTGCTTCTTTTCAGGCATTATGATTTGTGGCTCTTGCGGGCTTCTGCACATTGATTTTCTTCTTTTCAACTTGCTTGCCTTCTTTCAGCACACAATGTGAAGGCTGTTTTTGATTGGTGGAAACTGGGAGGAGAGTTGGGGCTCATCTTTACAGAACATGGTACTCTAAAATTGTTTCAAAACCAAGGCCCTCATCAGGACTTTTATTTGGGTCCACCTCAGGAAGACTGTGTTCCAGTTCTAACTTAAAGGGACAATCTGAGGCTACAACAAGCCCCGCCCACTTTGGGTTTTATTTACTCGGGTGGAAGAAAACTGTAATTTAATTCAGTAAGCTTTACACCTTCCAATTAGATCCAAACCAAACAATCTGGTAAACATAAATTACAGGGACTAAGAGATTGTTTTTCCTGTTATCCCGCCAGGTTGTTTCAGTTGGTCTCCAATCATTGCAACTTGGTATGACTTGTCTTTTGTTTTGCTGGGATTACCCCTCCTATATCTTAAAGGGTAAGAAGATAATAAGAAACAGCTCACATTATTCATATTTCCAAACCGTGATCTGCCCTCAATCATTTTTTTATGCCAGGCTTTCCAAGAATTACACACTCCTAACTATCAGACGGCATCAACAAAAGCCTCTTTATACCTGTAAACTCTTTTATCTTAATTTCTTTTTTGTTGAAGGTGTTAATGTCACACCTTCAACAGACCATGCTGCCATTGAGACCTACATGTATGTAACTGCCTAAGGACTGCAGATGGAAATGAGCTATTAGCTAAAATCAGGCATAAATCATTTTTTCTCTTTTCTGAGATTAATGTGTTTGTATGCATGGTCCTTGTTCAAATACATGCATAAACATAAACGTAACTTATACAATCATCCTTCATCTTGCAGTCCTTGGTGTCGCAAAAGTTCAACTGGCATTGTTCCCGCTTGGCGAAACCATACATATGAAACACAGCAGTATAATCTGCTCCAACATGCTTGCTGTTAACACAACCTCAGTCAAAAGGCTTGGTTCTGAATTAGTCCTGGAGAAAAGTGTGAGGGTTAGAATGCCAAGCATTCCTCTGGAAAGTATTGAGTTAGCTGAACCTTGAAAGGTGTGTGAATAACAAAACTTCTAGTAAATTAAAAGCATCAAAAGCCTCCCTCAGTACATCGCACAGTACAACAGATCGTATGAATAGATCAGGGCCGCGGTTCCATTAAAACATGTTCTTTGTTCAGAATTGTCTTCTGTAATCCCTAACCTTTACCTGAAGAAAGTAAGACTTTTACAGAATTTCCTTTGGCATATTACAGTATGAAAAGCCCCTGTGTGAGTAATAAACAAATGATGGCAGAATATAATTCAGCTGCTTCAGTTTCACGGTCCTTGAAAGGATCCTCCAAAAGGAGCCTTCTTGTTTTTAGTTATGTTTAGGTGATTCCTTGTTCAACTCTTATGAATAATCACTAAGCATAGTTTTCTGCCAAATTGTAACCATAGTTGTTGCTTCTGTCTACAAAATGTCAAGCTTTATAGAGAAATAATGTTGAATCTCTATGGCTAAGTTAGTCAAGGCGGTGTACGTTTCTACTGTTGGGTAGTACCATATGTAGCAACTAATAATCCTTTATTAGAATATAGTAAATTCATATTTCCAAATGTCTATGGACATGCGTATGAACATGATGTGTGTTGTGCTGTGTGTCCTCATTAAAATTACCTACATTTATTTAATATTTAGATTGAAGTAATACCTTAGCTTATGTGTGCGTTTGCACTTCATCAAGAACAGTCTAAATGACCAATGAGTAGTATAAAAAAAGATATATTGTAACAATAGTTGGCCACACGATAAGTATATAACCTGCATGATGGGAATTGTAGATAAAGAGATTGGTCAGCTTTGTATGGTTCCTTATTACCACAAAATGATTGAATTTGCATGTGAATGTCATAAATGACTCTGAGGGTGATGGTTAGTCAGCTGAAGTCCAAACACAATGAACTGTCCCCTAATCTAGACGGTATAGCTGACCTACCATACTTCATTTTCCCCCACCCCCACCCCTTCTATACTGTATCGCTATCACACCACCCGCTCTTCTCTCTCTGCTTGATTTCAGAAGTCAGGCACAGAAGAGCTTAACTCTGGGGAACTGAGAGATCAAAGTATTTACACACACACACACACACACACACACACACACACACACACACACACACACACACACACACACACACACACACACACACACACACACACACACACACACACACACACACACACACACACACACACAAAAGATGTTATTGCATACAAAGGAATACTAATGTCAAAGAGAAGAGGTTGTTGAAACACCCTTAGAGATTTCTCCAAACGCCCTTACAAATGTTGAATATTTTCCGTGTGTGTGTGTGTGTGTGTGTGTGTGTGTGTGTGTGTGTGTGTGTGTGTGTGTGTGTGTGTGTGTGTGTGTGTGTGTGTGTGTGTGTGTGTGTGTGTGTGTGTGTGTGTGTGTGTGTGTGTGTGTGTGTGTGTCTGTGTCTGTCTGTGTGTGTGTCTGTGTCTGTGTGACAGAGATGCCCCACATTCCCTGTACGCCTGATTTTATCTTTGACCAAATTAACATTTTCCTCCATGCCATCCACCCTGCCCTCTTTCATTTCTCTCCCTCTGTCTCTTTGTCTCCCTCGTAAGCCCCTCACTCCTCTGCAGCATCCGAACATTAATACAAGGGGGGTGAGATTATCCGGGCAAACCTGCAACACAAACCCCAGGATCTCCAGAGAGCTCCATCTTCTTTTACATAACAGCTCATCATCTTACACTGGGGAGATTAGGACACTCTCTGAAGCCAGTAATAAAGAGTGTGGTTTTTATGTGGCTCTGGAATGGGAGTGTCTGTGATGCTTGGAGCCCAGGAAGGGGAGTTAATTACCCCTCTGTTAGCAAATAAATCTGTTTATTTTTTCTAACATAATCATGTGTTCACAGACAGACCACTGTTAGAACAATAGAGTGGTCTTGAAATGGGGTGTTGGAGTAACATGTTAGTTAAATATTCAATGAATATGTTTATTACATATTCATTAATATACATTCCTATCTTAATCGTATTTAACAGGTTATGTTTCTATACTACATTTCAAAATGTAAGTCAACCTTTCTATAAGCACTGTTTTGCGACACATATACAAACCAAGGATGAAATTAAGTTAGGGCTTAAAATCCACAGCTGACGTTCAATCGACAAGACTTCTTTCTTCTTTCCTGTTCTGATTTATATGACGGTAAATAGTCCCTTTTATCTTCCTTAGCAACGGCCATGGTATCCTAAGCAGCAGTGCATTAGCGAGTATTAATACCTTCTGAAATGTCCAAATTGACCAATCTGAATCGAGTATTCAACTAAACCGTGTAATCATTATGATATAATAGCTACACAATAACTAAGAGTAGAAAAGCAGATAGACAAAGGAAGGCAGGAAATGTATTCTCCTTCTTTCGTTAGTTTTCTTTCAGTTTGATTGGCCTTTGATCTTGACAGAAAGAAAAATGTTTCATCAGCTTTCCCAGAATGCACTGGAGTAGATTTTTAACATTCCTCTTCTGCTTCTAAAGGAAAATATGTGTTCATGGCTTCAAACAGTAACCTTCAGTTATGCCAGTTTTGTTTTGTGCTATTGGTTACTACAAGATGATGTCATCCACAGCAGTGGAGGGAAAAACTCACATCTTTTGAAGATATTCGGTGCATCTCTTGACCTTAATCTGTGATATAATAAATTATGCCTGTAGGCATTGTTTTCATTTCAAGTTTAAGGTCAAACCATTCTTGTTTACTTAAATTCCACTAATTTATAAGGGTTAAATATTCAGTGCAATTAACCATGTTTAGAATAAACCCTCCCAGTAAACACATGTTACTACTACTACTACTACTACTACTACTACTACTACTACTACTACTACTACTACTACTACTACTACTACTACTACTACTACAGATGTGACTAGGGTCAAATATTAATGGCACCCATCATTTTCATATACTACCACAGAGCACACATTTGTGCATATCATGCTTTTAACATGAATCTCATTACAATACACAATTTAGTTCCGATCATGATTAAGTTAAAATATGATTATGAGAATAGTTTAATGCATGTTTTAGTGAACACATTTGTTTTTTGAAAATCACTGTTTTTGTTTTCGAATATAGAAACTAATCTGAATCAGGCAAAACTTCAGATTAACATAAACAATTTTAATTAGGAAATTCGAAATATTATCCGTCAATAACACTGTAATTACAAAATTGTGAAAACAAGGTGTGTCTGTTGTTTGCTACGTCTTCTTCAACATGTAACAGGTTTTGATGTTAGCTGCAGAAATTGAATGGAGTGGGTTTTGCTGCAGCCCCAGAGCCTATGCACAGTGTTTTTGTAGGAGGGAGGGCATCATAATGTCTTGTGTGTGTGTCTGTGCTAATGCAGGCTGCCTGGATACAGCTGAGCCAATAACAGACATATCCTGAGTTTCCTTGGCAACACTATAGCAACCTTTGCTGTTTCCAGGAGAATCAAAAGGATGAAAGACATTTAAACAGTATGTGTTCAGCTCCAATGTTGTTTTTCCTTTCAACCAAATCTGCTCCAGGGCAAATTCAGAAACAGTTGCATGAAAAGCACTCATACCT